TCTCTTTAGAATTATGTAAACAGGTTGAATAGGACTTTCTCCAGGATTCTGATGAACATTTTGCATCAAATCTTTCAAACTATATGCTCGAAATTGTGGTTTTTTACAAACAAATGTCTTGGATGCTTTCACTGCATCTGATAAAGTAATTCTTCCAACTATTCTATGATGATTATCACTATTTGTTACCGCTGATTGGATCATGCTATCCAGGATCAACGAAATGAATATCATTAACTTTAGTAAAGAAAATTTATTTTTCATGCCTTGTTTCTATTAATTTATTCTGCAATTTTTATTTAATTTATATCACTATAGTTATCTTTATGCACAATTCGTTTAAACTGAATTTAACTCACTAGGAACACGTTCATAAATTTAAATTCTATGGCGCGATACTTAATAAACATATTTGAAATGTGTTCTTTTTAGTCAAATTACATGAATCATTGATACGTAGTCGTATCAAGAGACGTTCAACTGAGACTTTCCTGTTGCCAGAAGTGTATTTATACATGGAAGAAGTTGCACACAGTCTACGCAAGGTATATGCACATCGATAGAGATTCATGCACACGTAAATCCAATATCCTAATTCTGATTTTGTGGTAACATTTATTCATACAATTCCTTAATCACTTGAAATATCCTGATGCATAGGAATCATCATGATTTCTACCTTATGCGATTTCATTCTTAATTTTACTTCAAAACTTGATCTTGAAGTTATATTACATGATATAATTTAATATATAATAAATAGAATTCCATTCTATAAATATTGTTCCATTTTATATATTCTTCAAATTTATACAGTGAATTCTTGTCACAGTCTTCAACATGTTTTCCAATACAATTGACTAACTTTTTGATAAGAAGATGTAAGTGCTTATATCAAAGTCGAACTTCGACTTTTCTTCTGCTGATATTCGTTATTCGAATAATCTATCACTCATATATACGAAACTTTCAATATATATTTAATATATTTTTATCGATATTAAGTAAACGCATTATATGTAATTCAATGAATCAATGATATAAATAAGATCGTATTAAATATGGAAATAAGATTTCATTGTTATTCATTGAAGTTTATATAATTTTATTATAAATATTTATATTTTTTATCATATTAAACTTAACATTATTAAAAAATCTGGATATTTTTACCTGGATGTGCTTCTTTTTTTCTGGAAAGTACAGTTGACTCATTGATATGATTAATTGAAAGTTTAAATTCAATAAATATTTTAGGAACTTGATATTGTATTAAATAATTTGTTGCTTCATATAAAAATTTATATTTAATATAAATTTAAAATCAATTGTAAGCTGCGATTCTGAAATTTTAAAAAATATTAACTTGATGATTAAAAAATTTTTCACAAAAAATACTTAGTGCAAAAAAAATAATTGAAATGAAATCAATTTTTTACAATGATTCCTTTAAAATTATATTTTGAATTGTTGAATTATTTATAATGCGCAGTTAATTGAATAAATATTTGTTTTTTTTTAATTTCTTCGTATTTGTAATATACATAAATATATATATTATATTACATATTATATAATATATATAAATATTTTAATTTTTTGAACATATTTTTTTTCTTTAAATCTTCAATATATTTATATATTTATATTGATTTTCATTTTTTTACTTAAAGAAAATAAAAATATATTTTATATTCAGTTTCTAATAAAATAAAACAGATTATTACTTTTAATATTAAATATATATTTATTTATTTTTAAGCTATTGATTGTTTTTATTTTATATTTATTGTATCAGTATTTAAATTTATTTTAAATACTTTATAATTATTAAATAATTATTTATTTAAATATATTTCATTTATAAAAATATAATTATGCTAATTAAAATTAAAAAATAATGGATGAGATAAGTTTTCTCATGTTTTTCCAAATAAGATAAATTTTCTCTGTTTTTCGTGTTATATGATTTCTATTTAAGAAATCATTACTTCTTATAAAATTAGGCGATAATTTTCTTATTCATTTAATAAGAAACATTATTAATATAAACGTTATTAAAAAACATATATCAATATAATCGAATTCAATTCGATTGTATCCTTGATTTTTACATATGACGAATTTTTGAAATTTTTTTAGAAAAATTTTAACTTTCTAATTACTAACAAGTTCATATCTGAAGAATGTTCAAGACAGAACAAAAGTGATTTTAATAATAGGAAATGAAATAAAAAAGAAATAAAAAAAATTTGCATCATTATAATTTGAAAAATTTTTATAAAGTATTTGAAATTCTTAATTTTTAAATATTAATATTATATTATACAACATAACAATATAACTATAGAATAGTCACATTATCGAAAATTTATATATTAATCGAAAATAATCAATTAAAAAAAAATTTCTATTTCAAATTTGCTATATATTTAATTTTGTTTTCTATTTTACATTTATTTTGTCTACGTTTTTTATTTATTTTTTTAAATATATTTCTTCAACTATTCTATTCATCAACTTTTTGATTTAAAAAGAATAATTTTTTTGAAATATAGGAATGTATTTATTGTAATTTATATGTATGAAACATATGATTAATAATAGAAATGTATATATAACGATTATCTTAAATAATTATCAATTTATTTGACGTAACAGGAATATTCCTCCTTCATATCCGCATTATTTGATTATGTTTATTTGAAATTCTATTTATTTCTAAAAGAAATTTGTTAATGATATTATAAATAAAACATGCTATTTAATTATTTGAATTATTTTACCATAATTATTATCTTTAATAAATATATTAGTGAAATTAATTGATAGCTAAATAAGAATGAGATATTAAATGAATGATACATATCAAAAATCACATAATTTGATAATTTTTAAAATAAAATTAAAAAAAGATTAAGATTATTAATTAAAAAATTTTGATTAGATACAACAAAAATATAATCTTCTCCATGATGATCTATAATAATCAGTTTTAAAATTATTAATTATATAAAATATAAAATATAATTAATTATATAAAATGTATCTAGACATAAAATTTCATTTGCAATTCATGGATTCGTAATTCTTTGCATATTGAGTCAGTTCCATGAATAACTGTTAACGGAGTAACATGAGTTTCGATTTAGGCAACCGATGCTCACTCTCACCTTTCATAATATTTGTCACAATCGAATATGTTATATGTTTAAAAAATGATCATATAAACTTTCTTCTTTTTATTTATCATTCTGAAAAAAAAAAAGAATGTTAAAAATAAATTTTGTACTACTCTGCAGACAATTGTCTCTATAATGGCTCATTGAAATCTGTCATCATCATAGAATATTTCAAATCAAGGAAAATTGAAACTTCATATCATGATTACATTAAACATTCTATGTAATTATTTTGATTTTTTATAATTTACAAATTTATAAATTAAAAAAAATTTGTTATACAATATATTATAAATAGTCCGTAGAATTTTAAATAAAATAAATCAATACAAAATAAAAATAGAATTACTGACACCTTATATAAGAATTATTCGTAAATAAAAAAATTCGAACAAGATACATTGATGCATGAAGAACAATACGAAGCAATTGATGTTCAAAAAAGAAAATATAAAGGCGGTTGATGACTGGTCGAAATTTCAGATTTAAAATGCGAAGAGAAAGAAGAAATACGATGAAAGGAGAAAATAAAAGAAAGAAGAGCCAATTGAGGAAAGGAGAACTAGTCACGCAACGTAACATGGTTTCAGTTCGAACAGGAGGCAGGACCCACTAGTTGTAATTATAGTTATCTTCGTGATGTTCTTGGAATGCTTTGCTTCAAGTCCTCCTCGAGTTTACCAAGAAATAAGAGAGAGACAATACGAAACGCCATAGGATGAGACAAAACAATAAGATGAGAAGTAGATCAACGAAGAAAGAAGATGAGAAATCAGAAAAAGAGGGGGATGCAGAGGGCATCGGGCCGAGGATGAAAGTAACATATATATAGAGAGGAAGAAAGAATTCAGATCGCAGAAGAATAGTCGTAGCTTTTAGTCCCAGACAATTGTGAGATCTAAGCAAACGTATAAATTTATGTTTAATATAATATTTGTTAACTTAGTAGTTGTTTAATATTGAAAAAAATGAAAAAATATATTCTATTGTTATTTTCTATTCATTTCGCTTTTGCTTCAATCGGCAAATATCATAGGTAAATTATATTACATAATACATATATATATATATTGGTCACGTGAATTTGATTCAACAATCAACAGACACAAATTCAAATAATCAATTCGATTTTCAGGGATAATGGATTTTTGAATCATGTGCAATTAGTGCATGAATTTCAATGCTCTATGCCTCAACCAAGAGCTGTACCAGTTGCAGAACTTCTTACTGTTGGTCCTAATTCTGACGAAGTCTTTTATCCTGCTTCTACTGTTCTAACACGATGTGATGGAGCTGGATGTTGTTCGGATTCTAAACAAATTTGTGCACCTATCGAAACTAGAAATGTTAGTCTTGTTTTTATGGTGAAACACATGATTGATCGACAACGTGACAGGCATCACGAAGTGATACATGCTTTAGAACATACAAAATGTGGGTGTATCAACAAAAAAATTATAAAGTTTGATTAATTCTTTCTGAAATTTTTTTTAAAATAATGATGAAAAATTCTTGTTATTAGAAAATATTATAAGTAGTTATTAGTTTTTTGCTAAAGAAGTTTAAATATGCCAAAATAATGTTTATTACATTAAATAGAATTAAATAATACGATTAATTAGTATTAATATAGAATGATGAATTCTTCAATTAAATCTCTTTATAAGATTTTTATCTGTGATATTTTTAATAATAATAAACAATCCATGTTTTTTTATAAAATATTAATAAATATTTTTTGATAAATATTAATACAATTTTTTATTTTTAATTATTTTATTTTATGCTTTATTCAAAAACTTATAAAAAAACGTTTCATCAACTTTTTTAGTTAGTCAAATAATCTAGTTCACCTACTTACTTTTTGCAATTAGTCTTTCATACCGAAGTATTGTTTTGCGACCAGTACATCACGTTTTATACTTTCATTATCTGGTGTTAATTTCAAAGCAGTTTCTAGTTCAGGAATACCATGCTGAGGAGCCGACAATTTACAAAGTGCTGCGCCTCGTCGAGCGTGACATCTAGCCCTTGACTCTTGATTGCTTTCACATTTTGGTTCCATTAACTCTAATGCCTGAAAAATAAAATGAAGATTAAAATATTCTTATTTATGCATATGCAAGTTGAATAAATTACAATTTTCATGATTTACTTTAGAACAATCTTCTATACATCTACGATAATTGCCTAATGCATATTGTGCTGCTGATCTATTTACATAGAGAGATGCCATTTTATCACTAATCTTAATTCCATACGTATAAGCGCTTATAGCAGCTAAATAATTTCCGACTTTAAAAAATTCACTAAAAAAATAATCATAAATAATTTAATATTTAAATAATCATAAATAATTTATGTAAAATTTTATCAAAGCATTAAACATACTCTCCTTTATCCTTTAACCATTGGGGATCTCGTTCTTCTGGTCGAAGATCTTCCGCATCAAAACCAATTTTACGCCTCGCTTCTGCCTGTTTCTGCAACCACTGTTATAGTAAAATTAATGTTAATACGATTTTTTTATTTTAATAATGATTAATAAACAAAAATAATACTTCTTGTTCTTCGACATGAGAACTTTCCCTAGCTGGTGTTGGAAATTTCCGTTCCGAAAATGTGATATTGATTATACCTATTTTTCTTGGTAACGGTACCGATTTTGAAGGTTCTTCAAATATATTATTTCTTTTTAAAATATTACCCTTTATCGCAGCTTCTACAGTTTCCAATCCTGGTCTTTTCTGTTTTTTATTATAAAATTTTTTTATATTATTTTTGTTCATTTCTTGTACTGAACTATGCGATGAAATTTCATAATCTGATTCAGATTCTTCAGAGCAACTAGTGTCATTTTTATTATCTTCTTCCTTTATTGTCATTTCTGTTTTACTATTATTTTCTTGATCCTTATTTATTGATTGTATTTCTGAAATCTGTTCATCATTCTTTATATTAGTTTCAAATTCCTTTATAGTTGTACTATTAAATATTTCTTTTTCGGTAATTGATTGAGATTTTAATGCATTATCCTTATTTTTAAACCATTTTAACGGTGGTCTTGTAAAATAAAATTAGAAAATTATTATCGAAGTTAAAACATATAAAAAAATTATGATATTTATTAATTTCTAGTACTTATAAGCTTTTCTATTTTCTTGTGTTTTTCCATCAATATTAGAAAGAAATGGTAATTCAGCTTTCGATCTCCAATCTTCAAATTCCTGCATTGCTTCTTTCCGATGTGTATCTCGTATTATTTCTATTTTATTCAATGTGTCTGTATTAATATTAATTTGTTCTTTCACTGCTTCTTTTTGTAAATATTGACGTTTTTCTGAATTAAATTATAAACCATTAGAAAAAATCATTATATTTATATATCAAATTTTATATACCATTTTTAAATTTTATTCTTTCTTCAGCATGTTTTTGAGCATGTTCTAAAGCTTGAATACGGCACTGTCGTTTAAAATCATTGTTAATATCTTGAACTTCCAAAGTAGGCCATTGTAAATTAATATTCGTTTTACGCAAAGTAAATATTGCTTCATTTTCCGTTAAAGTGCATTTACTTCTTTTTCAATAATATTAGCCCAAAGAAATAATTCTAATATAAACGGTGGAAAACTGACCTGTTATTAAATCAAACATTGTATGATATTTATTTCTTTATATTTAAGTGATATAATATGCTTTTGTTAGAAATTGGAATTTATACCTTTATATAATTATCTATTACAAATAAGTCAACCTTCTTCGGATATCCTTTTAAAGGTACATTTAATACAATAAATTCTGAAGTTTGACGCCAAGAATAATCTTTAATAATTATAACTGGCATTTTCTCGATCAACGTCTTTTTCAATTAAACGTACTATCGAAATACTAACGACTATCGATCAAACATTTTGCGATATATTATTTTATGTGAATGTGTGTATGAGTAAAAAATACAACAAAAGATAAAATTCTATTGTTATATTTATATAATCCATTTCATACATAAAAATTTTAAATATCTATAATCAATAAAATTTATCTAAATATATATACATATAATATATGTATATTACACATCGAATATATTTTCAATATCTTATTTATCAGGTAAAAAAAAACAAACTACGAATATATAGTATGAATTATTTTTAATTAAAACGTTTAAGAGTATTTGTTGACAATACTTTTTATAGATATTATTAAAAAGCTGCCATTTATGCAACTGATTCTGCATTCTGTGTCTTTATCTATGGAACTATAATTTTTCTCTTGTGAGCAATACTTTAAAATCATTGAAAATGTATGAAAACATTTAAATATTATGCAACTCCATAAAGAAGTATAAGTTTTGGTTCTAAAATTACTTTTGAACAAATGGCATATCATATCATCATACTCAAGCCATTGCTTGAAAATCAACTATAAAAACTTATTGTAAATCAGTCGGTTTTTATCAAACATCTGCTCCTACAAAATCACAATAATTATTTAGAAACGAATTGCAGGACGTTCAAATTCTTAAAAATTTTAAATTCATTGAACACGCATATATTTCAAAAACATATTAATGATTACCCTGAGAAGCAAGAATGTTATATTATGTTGACACTTTTGATCAGTTCCCACAGTTCGTTGTACATAATAACAAAAGTAACAATAATTGCTTTCGAAATATTGTGATACATAATATTATTAAAAAATGGAGGACTTTTGATAAACGCTTAAAATAGGAAATTAAAAATTATCTTCTATAAAGATATTATGACACTACAGTTATGCCTCTTACACGCCTTACATCATAATCATTTTTTATAGATTACAGTAGTAGTAATCATTCATTGTATAATATGTACAGTGTATGTATCAATGATAAATACTTTGTTCAATTATTTTATGTAAAAGAAATTGTTCTTTAAAAAAAAATATATATATTGTTCATTAAGAACAGTATAAAGATGGAACAAAGTACTTAACACTGTACAAAACTTAATATTATTATAAATAAGAATACGTACAATGCAGTACGTTTGTCTATGTTGTACCCAAGCAAGTCCCATAATCATGTGAACAAATATTTAGAATGAACTTTTGTTAGGACATTGGTTTAATATTAACATATATTACTTATTACGCAAGATATTCGTACAACATTCACGCATACATAGAGATATCGCCCAAAGTATAAGAGCTTGTGATATTCTTTTATTTATATATATTAATAAAGATAAAATTAAAAACTATCGCATGGAATGTCTGAAGTATACAAAAAGAATTCATCACATAAATTAAAAATTATCAATACAATAAAATGGACTTTGTGCGGATTTCTAATGCTTAATACAGTAATTTTACAAACATTGTTAAACAATTAAAAGAGAAAAATTTTAATACGTATCATAATTATATAATAGAAATTCATTAATACTTTATTTGATTTTGATTTAAAAAAGCGATAATTTGCTAATTACATGAAATATAAACTAACAAATTTAGACAGAAAAAATAAACAAATAAAATTATTTTATAATCCGATTAATCTACAAACTGATTTGATACAGTATTAAATACTGTATTGATAATTACAAATTCGTTGATATTTCATGATGTACATAGCAAAGAACAATCACTTTTCTTGACAATTGTTATGCATTAGGATTCTATTTTACTAATATTTATATTATTCATTATGAAAAATTGTTACATAGTTAATAGTAAAAATAAATACAGAAATGATACATTCTAGTAACATAAAACTTATGTCTCTATAAAAGTATACTTACAATTGTAAAAAAATGTTAGCGATAATTGAAGTTTTATTACAATTTATCTAAATGGCTTGAATTTTATACATACGTATCACATGCATACATCTGAAATAGTAGGTATGCTTTTACATTCATACATGTTCTCTTCTTCGAATTGTATTTATTGTTATTTTATAAATAATAACTAACAAATACTATAAGAACAACATGAATGTAAAGCAATATGTATACAAATTATAAATAAATGCAAAAATTTGAAGATCAAAATTTATAAATATAAATAATCAAATTTTAAAATTTCGGATAGAACAAATCCGAATTGGAAACATTTAGTAAATTGTGACTGGATGTTTATATTTACTAGATATTTAAATAAAGGAAGAAGTGAAAATTACGAACATCACTGGAATATCATACACAAAATTTGAATATGTTAATTTTTGTGCAAAGTTATTGCATTTTATAAAGGACATAAGTACATTAATATACGCACGAACTATTTTTTTCGTGCTGCTTTTTCTGCTTTTCGTCGCATCCGTTCTATTTCTTTTCTCTCTTTGCGTTCTCGGTCTGCCTGTGCTCTAAGTTCTTTCAATTTACGTTTTAAATGTGATTTTTCTTCTCCACAAATACCAAAAGCTTTGAGATCACGAGATTCAAGTCTTAAAAGGTTTCCACCATTAATTCCAGTTTCCAGAAAGCGTGATGCATAACGTTCCAAACCGATTCCTGATAGCCACTGACAAACCTAATAAAATTTTTCAAGTTATAAATATAAATAAAATAATATCTATAGAATTTTGATAAAAATATTTTTTTTAATAATTTTAAATAGATTTTTATATTATATTATATTATAT